GCCCGCACTGACGGCGCCGATGGACGGCGCGGCGGGCACGAGGGTGTCGTGCGCGACCTTCTGCAGGGCCACGACGTTGGCGCTGCTCAGGCCGAGGCCGGCACCGGCGCCCGAGGCGCTGTAGCCGAGCTTGGGCGACTGCCCGCTGATCATGCCGAACTGCACCAGTGCTGACAGGTAGTAGCCCGCACGGCTGGCGTGGTAGTGATCGATGCCCCACAGGTCCACCAGCGACCCCGGGCTGTAGGTGTTCGGCGCGGCGACGCCGGTGTTGATGGCGCGCATGAACGCGTCTCCCACCGGGCTCACCGCCTTGAACTTGCCGTTGGCGCTGAAGCGCGCGTAGTAGGTATTGCGCAGGTCCTGCGCCATCAGCGCGATGCCGCCGTCCGGGTAGACGGAGCTGTTGCCCAGGTTGGTTTCGTCCGGGCGGGGCCACGTGGCATAGAGCAGCACGTCCGTCCCCAGCCAGGCGTGCGGGTTGCCGGGCACGGTGCGCGTGGCGTTGCACTCGGCGGTCGACGTCTTGGCCAGCGAGGCGCAGGTGGAGGCATTGCCGCCGCCGATGACGCTGGTCTCGGTGTAGGTCTCGGCCTGGCCCTGGTGGATGTAGCGCTCCAGCTTGTCGGCGTAGGTGTTGAACCAGGCCTGGTTGCCGGTGGTGCGCGAGTCGGGAATCGGCTCGTCGCTGCGGCTCTGCATCACCACCGTGCTCCAGCGCTGCGAGGCGATGTTGCCGCGCAGGTCCAGCCCGTTGTAGAGGTTCAGGTAGTGGCTGCGCAGCGGGATGCCGGGCGAGGCCGACATGGAGACGTCGTACTCCAGGCCGGCTTCGTCCGTCAGCTTCTTGAAGATGCCTGCGACGCCGCCCCAGGGTTGCGGCGAACTGAAGCCGGCCGGCGTGTCCGTCGACGGCACGAGGCTGGTGACGGACGTGTTGTTGTAGAAACCGCCGTTGGCCTCCGCATGGCCGTAGGTGAAGCTGTTGCCGACGAAGAGCACGCTCTTGCGCGCAAAGGTGGCGGTGACGGAGCAGCCGGCGGTGACCGGGCGCGTCGTGTACGTGCTGCCGCTCAG